TAGCAATTAAATTTAAAAAGTCCTTAGTTCCTATCTTTTTTTAGTTTAATAAAACTGATTTTTGTCCTCTTCCTCTTTTCAGCATTTATTTCCCAGTTAAAATATATTATCTGCTAACTTTTTTGATGTCATATAACCCCGGTCCTTTCCTTTTTTTTGCATACATTTGCGGAAAACAAACGTAACTGATGTGTAAAAATGCGGTATTATTTAATATAGGATGTATACAAGTGATTTGTATCCGTTCATTCTGTGCAGTCGATCTCATACTTATTGTTACTACTTTTTTTTACAATGGTAATAAAAGGGATGTTTGTTCTCTTTTGTGCTTTGATTATCTCAGTTTTATTCCCAAATTTTTTTTTTATTTGTTTTTTAATGAAAAAAATTGGAAAAAGTGTTTTTTTCATTACCAAAATATTATTGTTGTTTAGTTGGTGCACATATATAAAGTGTATTAATAATAATGATCATTATTATTATTATTACAATCATTATTATTACCACAATAATAATAACAATAATGATGTTAACAATAAAATAAATAATAAAAATGATCACCATCATTCCTGTTATCAAACAACCAACCAAACAGATACTATCGCCAATCAACCCTATCATTGTTGCTGCTGATCTTTGTGACTGTATTAAGTTTCTCATGTGAAACTATAGCCTAGCGGCAATTAAATCACACTGTAACATTATGCTTCAAAGCTGCAATCGCCAATGCGGACTCATACCTTGAAGACATTTTTTCCACCACCAAAAATGATGCTGAAGCCTCCTAGAATAGTCTACTAAACTCTATGGTATCCACTGTCATTCATTATCGGATCTACTCATACACTGCCGTTAGATAACATCGCTAACAACATTAGCCGCCCTTCTCTTTGAAAGCTTCAACAGATATCATTGATATTATTGCTACTGCTGCTGCTGCTGTTGCCGATTAAGAACGGTTGATAGATAGTATGCATAACTGTTTATTAAAGAGCAAAGAGAAGGCACAACAAAACAATGTGTAAGAATTGATAAGATCCGGAAAGCGTGAAAGGAACATCGAATATACACTACATCAACATTACAAAGAGGCAAGATGATAAATTAGTGAAAACAACGGGACAGCACGATTGGTAGTACGAAAAAAAAATACAGAAAAAGCATAAAGGAATATGAAAAAATAAAAAAATAAAAACAGAAACAGTAAAAAAAATTAAAGAGAAGCCAACACGTATTCCACATTGAACAAAACACCAATTGGAGATGAAAATACCAATAAAAGAAATACACACGAAACACGCAGACACAAAAACATATTCTGAAGAACAAGTTCACATAGTTTACCGTCTAAAAGAATCAGTCCTAAATTTTGTCACCGCTTCACGTGCTTTCCCATGTATAATCTTTTTTTCCTCACCTACTTATTCTTTATCTCCCTTTTCTGATCTGTCCCCTTCTAATAAAATTAAATACACAACTGAAATAATCAATACAAACTTTAATATTTTAGATACAAAAAGGATTATGACAATTATATTAATAGCAAGAATAATAATAGTTAAATAATTAGAATATATTAACTGCAACACCGCTCATGCATCGTATTCAAAGTTACAAAAAGCATACATGGAAAGAGAAAGGAAAATACAATTAAAATAACACACAGTTACCTGAAAACGATGAAGAAGTGTTTCAAATTGATTCCTAAGTTCCCCGATATGTAAAACGCAAACAAAAAACTTAAAATAAAAAATTAAGAAGTAAAATGGAAAAAACTTCCTTCTCCCCCTCTTTTCTCCAGTCCAACTAAAATAATAAAAAACAGAGGGAAAAGAAAAACGAAAAAAAAAAAGAAAATAAAATGAAATTAAAAAAATTAAATTGCATTTAAAAATACAGTAAAAAGTGAAAAAAACATAAATAACGTCATCATTCCAGAAAAAATTGCTAACAACAGTGTACATGTCAAACAAAATGTAGAAAAAACAGATGTGAGAACAAAAGCGGAAAACACTTAATTTGATATGACAATAATACTTAAACACACTGCAAGTATTGCCACCTGATCCACAGATCAACACTATCGTTTACACTATTCTCAGAAAGCAATGTCGCATTCCAGTCAACATGTTCACGAATGCTTACACAAAGAATAAACATAACAAAAAAATTGTTTAAAGACTATATATAAGAATTTTTAGAAACTTTAGTAACTAACTCATAATTATCAGCCACTACACAAGACTTCAGAATTTTGCAGTCGCGCCTGAGACATAGCAATTTCCCTTTCAGTGCTAAGGTTTTGAGGCAAACGCATAAAGGAAAAAAAAGTTTGGTTTTACGTGCCCTTTTTGTGAGTAGTATAACGGCGATGAACAGTAGGCCAAGACAGGCTTTTTTTGATTGGAAAACGGTTTGACAAAAAGAAACGGGTAACAACAGGTAAGCACGCTACACTTCACTAGCAAATGTTTTTATCACACTCTCATCAGCTAATATTATAAATTATGGGAAACAGAAAGAAGCGACCACACGAATGTGGTATCTACTCTTAATTTAAAATAAACAAACAGGATGGGTTGCGCAAATATGCTCCTTACTAGGCAACTGACGCCTGGATGGTTTAATCGATGATATGCAATAACGGTATCTTCGTCAGAAACACTGCAGAACATTTTTCATGTAAACAAACTCAAAAGCCCTTTTTAATTCCCTCCGCAGTATTCAGACCTTGTTCCATTCTATTCTCATCTACCAAGGTAGCTAAAATAATACCTGACTAGAAAAATCTACGAAGAATAGAACTGAAAACTCTTAAAACAATTTTTCAAGTTTACAGATAGATCCTTCAACAAAGCAAAATTATAAACTTTCTTAAGAATCAAAAATAGATTATCAGGTGACAGTGATAACTATATGATAGATCAACACTTTGTTACTTTCCCAATTAAACCATGAACCAAAACCGTGAAATGCGACAAACTTTCTGGTTAACCTGATAACAAAATACTCCATCGTCTTTTAATTTCTGCCATAACCTCCCCTCTACTTTTAGATAATTGCAACACTTTTTACAAAATCTAATTCCGCAAACTGTTCGCACAACTAATAAACGATTTCAGAAAATTTTCAATTAAAAAGTGAGAAAAAAGTTTAATAAAATAACAATGGGAGGGAACAAAAACAAACATTCTCCGAAATTACACAAAGATCAACATGAAAACAAACGAAAATTTTGCCACCAGTTAGAATAAGACGACAGCGAAGAAGATAAAATAATAGAAAATGTTATTTGTGGTTAGTTAATAAAACCTTCGAGAAAAAAGTATGGAATCGACCGGAAGCTTAAAAATTAGTACTTTCTCATGATAATCCCGTACACAGAAAAAGGCAGGCTGGAAACAGAACAAAGGAAAGCCCTTGTACAGTCCTTCATTCATTATGAGACCTTAAATGTTTTGAGCGGTTCTTTTCCCTAGTAAATATAATAAAGACAAAATCCATTGCTCAATCAATTTTTTTTGTAAAACAAAAAACTCCCAAAATTTCATACTATAGGCTAGAATCTTTTTGAAAAACCTTCACTTACACTAAGTGATGTTATGAAAATTTGGCTCAGTAACTTCTCTAACTGTTTTCTTTCCCCAATTTGCTGTTAAATGACTCCCTTTACCTTCTAAAAGCACTTTTTACCAACATATTGCTCCTTGCAAAACAGCATTCCACGACTCTGAAAACTACATCTTTACGTGCCCTCTTTAAATCATGACTCATTTAGAGTTCTTTGTCAAATCTCACATTTTTCAAGATCACGAACTTCTTTGCTGATGAACAAGTGCATATTTCTTAATAGGCGACAATTCGCAGACATGACGCGTTCTTCAAACTAAGTTTTAAATATTCTTTCTCAAAAGTTAAACGCTTAACTCGACAACAGGAAGCGGTTTAAAGCCTGTGCCTCAAATTAGACCGTTTGATCACTAGCTTTAGCGCTCAAAACCCCTGTCTAAAACCTCGCCTCGGCCGTGCGTTAAATTATGACGAAAAAGTACCTAAAAATTATACCACTAAAACAATAAAGAGGTCTTACAGAATGCGTATTAAATCCAACATTGTTAATAAGTTTCACATTAACGAGCAACAGCATTTTGAAGAACCCGATTGGTGCTTCTTATTTTCGGGATAACGACGCTTAATCTGTCGCACTAAGTCATGAAAGACCTAAAAAAACAAAAGCCTGAAAACAGAAAAAAATTAAACAGCTCTTCTACGCGAAAGTATGTGAATATTCTTTTTGAAAATACAGCAACCAAAATAACCACAGAAAAAAATAATTAAGACTGAAAAAAATTGGACGGGATGTAAAGAAAACAGCTGTCAATTAAACAGTTATCACGCACAATCAGAAGAAAAAGTCCCCCAGTAACCGGTAAACCGTTTAACAATATGTATTTTATCATAGAAAGTGATCTACAAAATCAAACATCACGAAAATGAAAACTGCAAACTCCAAATATGAAAGCCGAGTTGCAGTGCTTAGTATTCTAAAGGGAGAATAAGGAGAATCTGAAAATATCAAAGTTACCTCATTGACGTTAACTTTTGCCTTCGCTGATGTCTCTAGGAAAGCACTGTTGAAACTCCTAGCTAGATTCTGACCTTGGTCCTTACCAACAACTCTCTCATCTTCGAGATCACATTTATTACCAACCAAAATCATCGGAACCTACAAGTTGCGTAAGTTATGCAGTTGATGTGAGCCACTCCTACGATTCTTCAAAGATATGGTTTAAGAAAACCTCAGTGCAGTCGAGAAGAATTTAACAATATTAATAAGAAGATTGAAAAGGTACAATTTTCTGTTAAAAACTGTACGAAAAAAAATTGTTTAGAAAATCCAAGCCTCTTAAGCTTCTTTTCAGCCAAATATTCTAGTTTACATCTGACCAGTATATCTCATTAACTAGCTACTCATTGAAAACAATCCTGAGAAAAACTGACCTCTTCAGTATCCTTAACTCTGAGTATTTGGTCCCTTAAATCGACCAAATCATTGAAGGTAGACTGGGCAGTTATTGAATAGACTAAGACAAAGCCCTGTCCTGTCTTCATATAAAGATCACGCATTGCCGTAAACTGTTCCTAAAAAAACGCAAAAATAAAGTTTACAATGAAAAAGAGCAAAATTAATCTTTTAG